ACAGAGAGAGAGAGAGAGAGAGAGAGAGAGAGAGAACGTATTGTCCGCTCTTTGCGTCATTCATGGTTGCAATCCTTTGTTATCCCTTAAAAAAAAATTCAAAAGTGTAATGTCTCTCCGGAGTCTCAAGGAAAGTGGCTCAAATGCCCTGGAGAGCGACATCCGGACCCTTACCGACGCCGTCCTCCACGATTGGACCACCAGCAGAGGGGCCCGACTCCCGACACCCGTCCGATATATACTGTCCGACAGTTTTTCTATTTACCCGCCAGCCCTTTTCCACCCACNCCACCCACCACCCACTTACCACCCACTTTCCACCCGCCACTCATTTTCTATCTGGCGGCTATTTTCCACCCACCACCCACTTCCTGTGACCCTCGGACCCCAACTTTGAGGCCGTGCACCCCAGGGGGCCCCCCAGCGCGCCGACGGCCTCTTCAAAGGCATGCCGCCGAGGGGGGGAGGGGGGACGTGCACGTGCACTTCCCGGAAAAAGGGGGGAGGGAGCGTGGGAAATTCGTCAATAATGCCCTTTTACTACTTCCCTAAAATCAGAACTAAAAAAGCTGGCGAAATCTCCGAAAAATGAAGAGACAGATAACAGATAACTGGCAGGAGACGTTCGAGCTCTCCAGTGGACGAAATGGGCTGCCACAAAAGTGCTCGGACGAAAAAGCGAGTCTTTCAGATTTTCGATTCCAGTTGCTGCTAGATCTTGTGTTGATCAGTCAAACAAAGGATTAGGTGACATACGCAGCTATGGAGAGACTCCAAAATTATGGGTGTACTCCGGATTTTCCCATCAAGACTCCTGACAATGTTCTTAGGAAATTAATTCATCCTGTTAGTTTTTATGAGATGAAGAAAATTATTCAAACCTTCTGAAAAGTTTGGAAAAGTAATGAGCTATTCGATCATTGTGAATAGTTTTCTGAAACTGTTGGTTTTAAAGGGAAATGTTAAAAAACATTTTTCAAAGACGTGAAATTCTCTACAAAAAATGTCACTTCATGAATTTTTTTTAAAGCTGTCTTTCATATATTTTGACAAAAGGAATATATCATCCTGTTTGGAAATGTTTTTGTGAACAAGATTTGATCCTAATTTTTTTCTAATTTTTTTCAGCCCGAAGTCCAGTATATTAAGAAAAATCTCTAAAGTCCTCCTTTGAGACCGCAAAGGTGACATTCCAGACACAATCGGAGAACTTTGCTCTTTTCGAAAAGTCACCCTGATCGATCAAACCCAGAGTTAACTCCCAGTCAACTCTGGGTTTATAGGGAAAACCCAGTGAAGGAAGAAAAACAGTCTACGAAAGTTCCATTAACCCATAGTGAACCCAGTGTTAACTCTGGGTTTAATTCATCAGGGCGGTCTCAAGGTGGGCCACATCTGCATGCAAGTCCACTGCATCTGCAATCGTTTCAATTTGGTGGAGAGACAGGCGAAGACACCAGAGGGAATAAGGACGCAACTGGTGGAGTGGCCCCCCTAAGGATCGCTGGACTGAGATCAATTACCTGCTGGTTGGTTTCGGTTAGGAGATCTGTCTCCATGAGCATCCTCAATGTGGACAGCGTCCCACAAAAAATCTTTTGCTCTTTTCCCCTGCTAACACTCAAAATAATTGGGACACTGAACAGGATAAAAAACATTCTTAATGTTCTATCACTTCCCACCACTTCTCTTCTGAAAGTCGATGCACGATCCATAATTTTCGAATATCGTTTATCAATCATGCTGTTCTACTCGAGATTCAACAAATAATAATTGATTCGTAGCGTAAAATATTAATGTTGAATGAATAATGAAAAAGAACACTTGATATGAAATGATTTTATTTACAAAATAAAGTACAGATTTTTCTATTAATTTCTATTGTTAGTTTCTTTTTGGTCTGACCCTTGATTTTGTTCATAGGTCTCTCCTGCTTAAACTGCGCCTTCTTCGTCAATTTTTTTTCTGCTGTTATTTGTTTTACTCCAACTCCACTCCTCCAATTTAGCTGAAAAGTCGAATGATTTCATGAAATTTTGAGTTTGGGGAGAGGCTTTTTTTTCGGTAAGATGATACAGAATTTTTCGTTGAGATTCATGAGGAATTGATGAAAAGAAATGGAATTAAAACAATTTTATCCCATGTTTTTTGGAATATCTTCNATAATAATTGATTCGTAGCGTAAAATATTAATGTTGAATGAATAATGAAAAAGAACACTTGATATGAAATGATTTTATTTACAAAATAAAGTACAGATTTTTCTATTAATTTCTATTGTTAGTTTCTTTTTGGTCTGACCCTTGATTTTGTTCATAGGTCTCTCCTGCTTAAACTGCGCCTTCTTCGTCAATTTTTTTTCTGCTGTTATTTGTTTTACTCCAACTCCACTCCTCCAATTTAGCTGAAAAGTCGAATGATTTCGTGAAATTTCGAGTTTGGGGAGAGGCTTTTTTTTCGCTAAGGTGATACAGAATTTTTCGTTATGAGATTCATGAGGAATTGATGAAAATAAATGGAATTAAAACAATTTTATCCCATGTTTTTTGGAATATCTTCGAAATTAGAGGGTTCAGAGACAATGTCGAAGTATATTCTGTGGAGGTCATTACATTTTCTATAAAAAAGGTCTTCTGACATTTTGTTCTAAAATCACTCGTAATCGAGATAATTCAAATATTTCTGAAGGTTGATGAATTAGAAAAAATTAAAGAAAAATCGATTATCTAATCTCCTAAAGTTACTGATTATCAACATAATTTAATCATCTATAAATGTTTTCGACAAAGAATGGCGATGAAAATTCGTAAATATCTATTGGAGCTACTCAAATAATCCTGGAATATCGTCCCCACTAACTGTAGCAAGCGTGAGCAGAAGACTTTGAAGTCATTGAAGACTTTCCTATTACCCGGAAAGCCTCGTTAATGGCTGCTTATTTCGCATTATTCGGCATTCATAATTAGAAAAATATTCCTCTCATTATCAGTTAGCTACACTGTTGATGATACTTAAATATCAACATTTCATTTGATTTCCTTTCCTCCATTGTCTATTCAGGTTTAAAAGTAATAAATTGAATGATTATGAAATTCTAATTGAGAAAGAAAAAAAACTTCAAGGAATTTCGAATAATGTGCCCATTGAGCATTTTTTTGAATTGAAAATTTGTAGTGAATCGGCAAACTAGGATAACTACTACGCATCTAGGGTCCGTTGTCGGTGGATATCTCGTGAGTGGGGACAGTTAAGAAAAATTCCATGGAATTTTGTTTTGTAGAGCAAAATGTGAGCTAAAAAAAATCATATGAAAATTTTACCATTTCTCCTCACGTAGAAGATATTCATCACAGTGAAAACACCTCGGTAATCTACAAAAAAAAATTTTATTCAGACGGGCATGAAGCCTCATATCACGGACTAGATAACGAAAAAAAAGTTCGTCAGTCGGTGGCAGACAACTTTTCTGGCGATTTTGTTGTAATCTTTGACTTTGCTTCGGACTNAAATTTTACCATTTCTCCTCACGTAGAAGATATTCATCACAGTGAAAACACCTCGGTAATCTACAAAAAAAAATTTTATTCAGACGGGCATGAAGCCTCATATCACGGACTAGATAACGAAAAAAAAGTTCGTCAGTCGATGGCAGACAACTTTTCTGGCGATTTTGTTGTAATCTTTGACTTTGCTTCGGACTGCAAACACACAAACGCGCCAGAAAAGCTTTTCATGGCCTCAATGACAGAATCTACTATATAATTATTATAAAAAATACATCCTATGACCATCAATACTCTCCCCCGATGAGGAGGGCGTTGTGGATGACGGCATTTTTTGTCAGCTCTTGGAGCCATGGGCATTCCCAAAACTCTTCGTTTCCCTCTGAAACTCCTGAGAGGCGGAGTTCAATCTCGGCATTCTCTCAGGTGATTTTTGTGTGAAAACTTGGACCCCCGAACTATTGGCTACAAAAACTTCAATTCTCAGTGAACCTCGCGTGTTTTCAGCTAATTCAACTTTAGAGATTTTTCTTAATATACTGGACTTCGGGCTGAAAAAAATTAGAAAAAAATTAGGATCAAATCTTGTTCATAAAAACATTTCCAAACAGGATGATATATTCCTTTTGTCAAAATATATGAAAGACATAGCTTTAAAAAAAATTCATGAAGTGACATTTTTTGTAGAGAATTTCATGTCTTTGAAAAATGTTTTTTAACATTTCCCTTTAAAACCAACAGTTTCAGAAAACTATTCACAATGATCGAATAGCTCATTACTTTTCCAAACTTCTCAGAAGGTTTGAATAATTTTCTTCATTTCATAAAAACTAACAGGATGAATTAATTTCCTAAGAACATTGTCAGGAGTCTTGATCAGAAGATCCGGAGTACACCCATAATTTTGGAGTCTCTCCATAGCTGCGTATGTCACCTAATCCTTTTTAGTGACGTTTGACTGATCAACACAAGATCTAGCAGCAACTGGAATCGAAAATCTGAAAGACTCGCTTTTTCGTCCGAGCACTTTTGTGGCAGCCCATTTCGTCCACTGGAGAGCTCGAACGTCTCCTGCCAGTTATGTCTTTTCATTTTTCGGAGATTTCGCCAGCTTTTTTAATTCTGATTTTAGGGAATTGGGAGATTTTTTTTTAGTATTTCATCTCCATGGATTTTCCTTTCCTGGGGGCATTGGGCTTCTGATGCTTAGAGATTTCAGCAACGAAACACTCCGACACTGTCTGCCTCTCTATAAATCCTTTCATGTTTTATCAGGGGTCCAGTGATTTTGTTGGCACGATTACGATAACCGGGGCGCCATGGTTTGACCATGTATTCCGATGTATTTTTGGATGAGGAATTCCGGAAAAATAATGAAAAAAATCCATCTCTATTATTTCTCCTGAATTATGGAGATTTTTAATTTTATTTTCACCTTTTTATATACGTATAATTCAATGTTTATCTCACTTTATTAAATTAAATAACATTTCAATTAATTCTGTCAGATTTTCAACTTAGTTGAATATTACTATCATCATTATTCATATTATTTCTTCCTTCTATACAATCGATTGTCTTTTTTACGATTGTGTCTCTCCCCTCAGCCCTTCGATAAAATATTAATAAAAAAATTTCATTAATACATACTTGAATGAATTTGAAACATCAAATTTGAAGAAACCATCAGAAAGTTCACTTTCAGGGAAATTCATGAAAAATTCGAAATTTTCAATAATCATCATAAAAATCAAATCAATCAATATAGCTATCATTATCATCTTTTATATACGACTTCAGGATATCCAAGTATCTTTTACAGTTTGGTACAGACCACACTATAGATTCAACTATTGTCAATCATCAAATTTGTCAATTAAATTGCGTGAGAAAAATTTGAAAAAAATCATGAATATTCAGTGTCATTCAAATTTTATTTTGCCCGGAATTATTATTTTTAAACATTCGTTGTTTATAAATAAATAATTAAAATTGTTTATACTTTCGGAAACCTTTTTTTAGGCATGAAATCGATTTATGGTAAAATTCTGAATATGAATAAATTTGTTACGATTCCGAACAAATAATTTTTATGGTAGAAGATGGATTGTATATAAATTATTTATAGAATTGGTTCATTTTTCAAAAAATGCAAATTTTAATTATTTCATCAATCTTCCTCCAAAAGTAAACTTTCGAAAATTTCTTCAAATTTTTATAATGTTTTCTAACAGTTCAATATCAAGATTCAAATTCAGACCTGCAAAATTTAAATAATAAAATCTTTGTAAAATGTCCGGAAACTTAGGGTCAAATGGGGCTCAAATGAAAGCTGTGAGGCTCGACTACAAAAGTAGAAAAGCATTTCACTGGAGAAAAAATAACCAAAGTACTTGGATATCCTTAACGGCAGGTAGAATTACGATTTCTTTGGCGCCACCATTTAATATATGTTTTGCGTATCATTTTTCCGCATGTTATGACTTCACAGGTTATTGTGAAGTCATAACATGTGGAAAATAACGGGATAATTCAAAATGTTAGTTTGTAAGAAAAATTTTACTGAAAAAATTTGATAGTCTAGACCGGACTTTGAAGCAGGAGTCTTCCGATTATGCATCGCGTGCTTGCCCAATTCAAGGTAAGGTCACAGAAGGTCATAAAAAAGTCCCAAGGGTTAAGAAAATCACAAAGGTCACATAAAAAAGGACTGGCTAGGGTCACATGGGTCACAAGGGTGACACTGCCTTGGTTAAATCCGTTTTTGACTGAAAATTTTTTAGATTCACGAAAGTCCCAAGGGTCACACAAAAAAAAGGAGTGGCTCGGGTCACAAGGATGACAATGTCTTGGTTAAATGCGTTTATGGCTGAAAATTTTTTTGTTCGAGATTTTCTTAACTTAATTTTTATGATTGTTGTTGCAATTTTGTCAGAAAAATCTAGTCAAAAAAATCTTCAACCACAAATTTTTCATTAAAACTGAATTTTGTTGTTTTGTGGTTGTAAATGTAATTATTGAATTTACATGTGGGAATATTAGTGCGTGAATTTGTTGCCTTAAGTATAAAAAAATTTATGGAAAAGTTTGTATCCTGAAAAATAAGGATTGAAATGCATATATACCCAAAACTAATTGAGGGATTTTTTTTTTACTTTTCCTGTATTCCCGAGGAAAAATAGTATCGAAAAGATATTTCAAATGATGGCGTTAAAGGAATCGTAATTTCCCCGTATTCTGCATTCAGGTTTTCTTAATATTTGAATTTGGTTACAGTGAGGGCTTAATCAAGGTTCAATTGCGATTTAATCGGGATTCGATCCAAGTTCAATTAAGAGTTAGTTTAGATTCAGCCGAGATTTAATTAGGGTTTAGTCAGGAGTTAGTCGGGACCATGAATGAATATGAATAAATATCCAATAAAATGAACTGATACTTGAGTTTAATAGTGGTTTTTTGATATAAACAATCCTTGATGTTACTATGTAACTTGACAAGCAATGATGTTATTATTACTATCTTTCAACTTCATTAATAAGACATTGGAATAATTTTTTCAAGTCTTGATCCACACTGTTATAAAATTACTCTTGAAATTTCAAGTGAAAAAGCTTGAAATTTTCAACACCGACAAAGTTACATGAAATTCAGTCATATTGAAATATTAGAAAAATTCAAAGAATATATTATCATTCAAATTAAGGCCCGGGTGAATTATCTTTTCGAATATGATCTTGATTGCTTCTTTTATTTTCATAATCTCCAATGATCTCCAACAGCTATTCAGTTTTACATAGTCCTGGAGTTTTCAAAATTATGATTGTACAATCAAAAAAACGTTGAAAAAAAGCTGAACATTTTCAAAGAGCGTTTTTACATAATATTGGGAAATAAACCCAATAGGGAGGAAATAGCAAATTAATAATTTGATGTATCTAATGGCTGTTAGGTCGTCATTTGTTACAGTAGTCAATGGCTGTCAGAACGTTAGTTACGATAATAAATTATCCATTCACTATTCCTCTGTGTCGGACTTATTTTTTAATTTTTATTAAAAACACTCTTTGAAAATGTTCAGTTTTTTTCTACCTTTTTTTTTGTTGTACAATTATAATTTTTAGAGACTCCTGCGTGATGTAAAATACAATGGAAATTGTGATATATTTCACATTATAAAAGTGGAAAAACAATCGAGATAACCTTCGGAACATAATCCACCCGGGCCTTAAATTCATTGATTATTTATTTGCACTTCCTTAAATTTGCTGCTAGTTCGTTTCGAGAATATAATTCATCAATGTTCCCATCCAGTAATTGTGTCCAACTTGAAAACTTTTACCAGCTGTGAATTAATAATTATGATTGTGAACAGTAGATTTCCTCTTTATGAGATTCGATTATAGTAAAATTTCTTCAATTCATTAATCATTAAAATAATTTTTTTTTTCAAATGAATATTTTCTTTCTTGAATGTGGGGGGCTCCGCCCCCCCAACCCCCCGCCGGGGCTTCGCCTCTGGACCCCGCCGGGGCTGTGCCTCTGGACACCCCACTTCCTCGACCATTACTCTTGGACTTCATTACAAATACTTCATCATCACCGTTCAGTTGCAATTGATTCATTTGTCCCATTTATGCTTCCCCCCCCCCGCGTGGGCGAACTTTTCTTACAGGTATTGCAAAAAATAGTATGTGCAACACGCGCGTGTAGTTTTTTTCGGCTGGTGCGATCGACGAGTCCAGACAATCACACATCGTACGAAAAAGTGCTACTTTA